CTTTTATTTATCGAATGAAGATTAAAATTGTCCAGCATCAATGTATTACTAATGTATGACGTAACAGACGGACGTACGGTCTTATGATTAGGAATCGTGTTTCGTGTTGCAGTTTTTGCTAAACGCTCACCAATCACGCAATAACAGATGAAGCGAACCATATTGATGATGTATGCTGTAAAAAGTTTACATCCGTTATTATTATTAGAGGGCTATTCTAAAAAAGTGGTCAATAACCTTAACCGTCTGAGGGGTTTGTTATCAATATTTACCATAAACATAATGGGGAGAGAGTCCTTACAAAAGAGTTCAACGAACGTCACGGCTTTGTTCGTAGGCGGTGATGCGAAACAATGGCTTGTGTCCAGGATGTTCTCGCCACTGTCTTTCTATTAAAACTAACTAAATTTAAGAAATAATACTATGTAAAACCACAACTATATCGCTATTATTGCCTAGAAACTGTAAGATTTTAATAACTTCTACACATGACGTTTATTTTGACTATCTTAAGTTATGTTTAAGTTATCTCATTAGTAATATACGAGTTAAAACGTAATTCTGAACAGAGAACATATAGCCAGCTCAATTAATTCAAGAAGTGGGTAGTTATTATACATAACTAGATAGTCGTTTGACATTCCGATCATAGGAGGTAGGAGCAATTTACATAATTATCATTATGATCAATACTTGCCTACGATACTAAAGCAATGTCAAGTGCTATATTAAATACATTAGCTACTGCTATTGAACAATTAGAGAGGTGAGGCATATTTAGTGGCTGTCTTTTTGGTGTCGGCTTTAAAACCTGTATATTTAAATGAAGCTCATTAAAGTTTTAGGCCAAACACTGATAAATAAAGGTCATGACGTGTCTCATTCATATGATAGAAATGAGGAGAGGCGGATGCGTGAATTCTATATGCAAATACACTTACTTATCGAGGGCGAGCGGACCTGACAGAGGTACGGGCTAGTTCCCTCGGCGACAACTATCTAGGGCACTGTACTGACGTGTGTCGCAAAGAAATCACAACAACAACACTTTCCGAAGCACACACTGCACCATAAAAGTAATATCGTCCAGAGAATCACGACACGGCTCAACCGTTCTTGTCAGACAAAAGAACAGAGAGACAATTAATAAACGGTTGTTATTTTAGTACGTATGCGGAAGAAAACGCGACGAAATTGCATTTTGGAGGCTCGGAGGCGTCGCCTCGTTCGAATGCGAGTGCGACTCAAATGTCAGCGACGGTGCTCAGGCGCTCGCTCGCCCGCGCCCAGCCGCGTGACGTCACTCTGGTATTCAAAATGGCGGCGTGGAATTCGAGAGCCTACATGCAGACGGTATTAGCGGTTAGTGTTGTGCTAATAGACCTCTGTGAGTAGAACTAATGCAGGAATGAAGTGCGCATAAATGTCGTATGTCATAGTTTTGCAGCGCCTTCGTTAATATTTTATCTCCCAATGTTTTTATCGATTATTAAAATTAAAACAATATGTTTTGTCGATGTTATAATGTTCGACAATAGATCAGTTCCTATTCAAAAATGCTAAATTTTATTTGCACGTATACAGCAATGTTATCATTGTGCGTCTCGGGTTCAATTCTGTTTTCGTCATAATATGCTCTTCTTCTTTTAACTGATGTCCTATATCAGGTGTTCATTAATTACTATTTGTAACTTTGTAACTGACAATTTTTATTGACTCCTGTCACTTGGACCCACTGAAAAAGCAACTGCCACACTTTTCTTGAAATCGCGTTAAAGTTTACGAGTAGTGTTTCCATTGTTTTCTAATGTAAAGAAGTTTGAGCTGTTGTAGATTAGATTAATATCAATACAAAAAATATTATTAATATGTAATAATTATGCCATTTACCAAATGTCAAAATGAAGTAAAATTATGCTCAATACACATATGAGGTACAATTGCAATATTTGTAGATGTAATTGTTTAACGATGGTATTTATATTGCCCACTGAGTATTCAAAACGATTATTTGCTCAATATTACCACGTATTTAACGCTAGGCTATTGCCTAGCGTTATACAGTATATTTACTGTTTTCATTGTTCAGACTTATTATCCAATTATTACATTGTTCTGTTCAATAACCATCCTATTTCAAAACATATTTAAATTGTTATTTAATACGTACATACGAACCGGAATTTGATCTTTATCATTTGATTAGTTGTTTTTTTTACTATTTTCTTAATGTTCATCATCATCACCAGCTCACTAGATATCCCCACCGAGGGGATCGGAGCCTACCCTAAAGTTAGGGTGACTAGGCCATAGTCAACCACGCTGGCCAACTGCGGGTTGGTTGACTTCAGACATATATTTGAATTTCTTCGCTGATATGTGCAGGTTGCATCACGATGTTTTCCTTCACCGTAAGAACGTCGGGTAAATTATGTACATACGAGTATGAAAATTCGAAAATCACATTGGTACATGGCGGCGGGATTCGAACCCAAGACCTTTAGATTACAAGTCAACTGCTTAAACCACTGAGTCACCGACGACGCTTAATGTTATTTAAATCGAATTAAGTGGACATTGAAATTGTATTACATTATCTGTAGTAACTTCAGTGTAGCCAATAGATGACCTATTCCAATCGAAAATCAAATCATAAATTCAATAGATATTAAGATATAAAGTTCTAGTTGAAGCTAGTGAATGTGAGTTTAAAATCAAATCCTGTTTTAGTCTAAACAAGCTGGCATTGTCAGGCACGGGTGCGTCATGTGAACAAGGTCGGGGTCTACATAAATTGATGTACCAGACCGCCCACTCCCTCGTCTGCGAATTCCCATTGTAACGTCTAATGAAAAATATCATTAATGACTTGCTATAAATTTTGACTAACATTTTGGGAACCGATGACATCATTAGTCTATGTTAGTATAATTTCGTTTTAATCTGTACCTAAATTTCGTTATAGATAACATAGTAATTATAAATTGATTAAGCTTAACCGCTTAACATGAAATGTAGCGTAAATTTAATTTCTAGGAACGATGAAAGTTTGACAGGCGCTTCAATACGCGCCTATATTGGTGGTAATTGAAAATAAAATGTTGATGACAGAATTTAAAAACCTTTGAAAACTGCCATCGCACACTACAGACTTTGTATCGACCGATAATTTGATTGTACGACTTAACCGGTATGAATATGTATGGTGAGCACATTACACCGTTTTTATTTTGACTGCAGCCAAACTCGATGAAACACCAGCCGATAGCTGATGAAAAAATCTGCAGTGTGTAAGGGCTCTTACGTGGTGATAACTATGTAATCACTTTATTAAGTTTAACAGCGACATAAAAAAAATAGTATCAAAACAAGCAACATTGAACTAAACACGCAGCCCTAGTGTAGGAGTTTGTAATTAGAAATAATGAAAGCCAACGTGTCAGTAAAGCGCCGAGAATGTAGCTTTAACACTTTCTTGCCGCACTGATGGCGCAATGACAATTTCTTTTTAGAGAACGGATGTAATGGCACCGAATTATACGGTTCGTGGAAACACGTCACAAAACACTTTCTACGTAATAGTCAGAATGTGCTTGAATTTTGGTGGTTTTGTATTTTGATTATCCATTGTTTTTATGCATATTGCTGTGCGGAATATTATCATAGTAGACTGTAGTAAATATTTTGAAACATGTAGTTAATTTCTATATACTGTATGTATGTGGGTTATTTACCGATCGCAAGTACACCAAGACAATTTCAAGCTAATGTTTTGTTATATCTGATATACTTTTAAACTTTAAGGGCCTGTCCCACCAATATAAAGGTTCAGATAGCTTAAAAATGACGTCACTGTCAGATAAGGGAACAAAATCTGATATTTACAGCACATATTTCACACGTTGGATTATTATCAGACAATTTACAATTTGGTGGAATAGGCCCTGAATAAATTATCAGAATGATTGCGATTTTTATGCTCTTTTTTACGACATTCTACATCTAGCAAAAAGATTTCTATTGTTGCTGTTCTAAATCATTTTCATTTGGATCGCTTCAATTGTGTAAACAGCTAGTTTGCTCGCCACAATTTCGAATGTCTAATTTTAATTGTGGCGAAAGCTGCGGTGAGTTTACTCGACACAAATGTGTTTTTAACTGGATGGTTAACCATAATTATCTTTGTTTTGTTACCAGAAATTAGGTTTGTTTCGATGTACCTCTCCTAATAACAACTGATCTTAATCCTACTAATATTACATTTTAAAATTTGTAAATGGTTGGCTGGTTGCAAATGATTCTCCAGGTGGATAGATCGATGGTTTGATGAATGGAAAAATTCAAGGATTAATATGGTGATGACAAAACATATGAATCGATAAACTGATAAACGAATAGGAAGTTAGATCCTAATGAATGATGATTGAAGGATCATTCATTTGCAAGATCGGTTCATTGTTTAAACTCGTTTCATCGATTGCAATTAATATTCAATTTATCCTAACTACGTTTAATACAGCAGCCAATAAATTAAAAAGAAATGAAGAATCGTGTCGCAACGATTGTTCGAGTAGAACAAATTGAAATAACGTGGAACATAGATTCACTTTATAGGAGCGAGGCGCGGAAGAATCATTTCGCTGCGTTTGTCGTTCTACTATTTCATTTTGTTCTCTTTGTTTTTCGAATGGCGCGTGTCGTGCAATATCGTAGGTAACGGCTTAGAGCGAATTACATCACTGCGACATGTTACACTGTGGAATGTAATCGGAAAGCGTAGTGCAGATGTTACAAATAACAGTTTTCTTAGATAATGTACAAATAATGTCCCACGACTCTTCCTTATGGATATATTTCTTATCTAAAGCCGCGGAAAAAATGACTATAATAGCTCATATCGAATGATTGTGTTACTTGAGATATGTCTCTTCTGTGAAAACACAATCGCAGATTCCATATAGAAGTTTATTGCGACATTTAGGCTTTAATGTTATACATACCTTGAACATGTTCGCCATTGAAGGTGACGCGAACGGAGTGTGGGTGTAGTATGCGTGGGGTGAACGAAGCCACGTACCGCTGACCTCCCAGTGCTTTTACAGAGCTTGCGACTAGAGTTCCATTACCACTGGATACTTCCAGTTCTAGCTCACCAGGTCCCGCTGAACCGCCATCCACTGTTTTTGAATTACAAATACGTTAAACCAACGATCAGTTTATTAGACTATGATAAGCGATGGTAGGTAACGTAGATATTATTTCTTAAAAAAAGTTTACTATCCAAATTAAAGTAATCATAGGAGGTAATAGTTTTATTTATTTTTCCTCTAGAAAAGATTTTGTATACTAACCTATAAATTCTACAGGACGACCGACGATTCCTTTGAAGGTCGGTTTAATTATTATTCCTTTGGCACCTTTATTGTTTTCCCTTTGATCTAATCTGTAACAAGACAAAAAAGTTATCTTTCTCAGTAGAAGCGAAGTTTAAAAAAATAATTAATTATCTCGGAAGAGTAACTTAATTAAATAAAAGTTGCGTCTACCTTAACAATTAGGAAATTTCAAGTGATATTGTTATAATTACTAAGAAATCTGAAAACACATCTATTAAAATTTCTAATGTATTTATTCCTCGTGTAATACACATTTCTAAAAATAATTTAATTCCATTTTTAATAAAAACAAATGAAGCACTAATTTTTCATAACAAAGTTCTATTACGTTATGAAATAAAACACACAAGATGAAATAAAAGACAAAATTCGAAACCGTCTACACAACGTAAGTGCGAGCAAAAACTCCCGAACGGCAGGTACGGAGTACGGATTGGAAAATTTATAGCGTCCAGACAACACGTCCGTACCGCTACATGGCTCTATATTTTATTTAATGCTCTTGTTATTTCATTTTTAGAACAATTTTCAATCACATTCAGTACTTACATTTTTAAAATAACATGTTAGAAAATTGAATTTTATCTTCACAATACCTTAAAATACGTTTCTAAACTTTTTATTACATGCATACTGACAATAACAGCGTTTAATGTAAAATGAAAATCAGAATACAATCCATACATTATTATTTTACTTAGCTATACAATGTGTTAGATATACAAACATATACAACAACTATTGCATACCTTGTGGCAAATAAAATCAACAGTATGTTATTTGTATACAGTACATTAGATATGACCTAGGAGATTGTATAATAATTCTTAGAGGTCACTGCACAATAGACAAAAATTACAATAGCCTGGATGTTCGCATCACTGATTCATCTCTAGAGATCTGACAATAGCCAGGTTATAAAATGGCGGCCATTAGAGATACAATTCCACACCCAACAAATAACTGACGATCTACAATCGAACATTTAATTGTGTAAATATCTATTTTCAGATTATGCATTTAGACGTTTATCTTAGTACAACCCAGAAAGGATGGACTTCCATCAATCGAGCATTGAAGACTTTCTAATAAGTTCTAAAATCTTAGTATCTGTGGTTTAAATAGGGTTTCGACATTTTATGATGTCGAAGATTAAGGTATAACGCCTCACTGAAAGTAATTAATTGGTCACAAAGAGAGATCTTTAGTGTAAATTGTTTACATTAAATGTATAATCTGGAAGATCACCTTAGCGACGTTTCTCGAATTAATTTTAATCACAATGTTACGTGCAGCAGTTATGTTTAACAAAGCTATTGACTAAAAAATTGCATATTATTACTTACCTGAAACGAGCATGCGCGGCATCCGTTTCAGTATGGGCCCCCCCGGTAGGGTCGCGGGGGGGCCTATTGGATAAAAAAGACTGCTCTTGTTGCTGCTTCTCCTCCACCGTACTGTACGAGGAGTCGCGCACCACGTAAGAGCTCTCACGCACTTCGCGCTTATACTCTTCCTGAGACGACAAAATAAAAATATAAGACTTGAGCTAAGACGAGCACGATAAGACAATCTTTCTCTTGAAGTTTCGTATAGCATTTGTCGAACTATTTTACACCTGAGGAAACTATCAAATGCTACAGTTATAGTAAATCTAAGCGCCGAACTAACTTCTAACTGTCTTTGTGTTGGTCTTAATCTTATTGAGTGGAAAGCATGTAGTAGCACTGACTGGCAAAACTAATAAATTGACAACGGTTCAGAATGTTAAAGGAGTGTAACAGAATACTGACTAATGGGCGAGGCGGCGAACGTAACTTCGTCTTTGTGAAACTTGTGTGCAAGTCGAGAGTTAAGTACGGACAAGACATCTATAATCGCCACAGTTCGTGACATTCCCGACGAGTTACTTTTATAATTAATTTGATGGAAAACCAGCACGGAAGCTTAACAAGATTAAGTTTCGGAAAATCTGTTATTTCGTTGTATAGAATTGTTGGATTTTCCATTGTTATCGTTGTGTTATTTCGTTTTTAAATTACTTGGTTAAAGATGCATGCACTTTAACGTGTATTACAGTAGAAACTAGATGTTAATAAGGGTTGTAAAGTGGATACGTGCTTGGAATGCAGATACGAT